AGTTCAAATGCTCACATTTACCATTATTACCTCATTCATGTCTCTGATGTCTTTAGCTTTCAGTACAACAATTATTCCTTCATTTAGATGTTAAAAATTACAGTGCAAAGCAAGATAATTTAAAATTTTGAATTGTAGAAATAAAAATGGTTTAATGCTGAAATGGCTCAGCAGGCAGGAGACATGTAATTTAAAAATTTAGCACTTGGTTTTAAGTTTCACTAGTGACTTGGAAAAATTAATCAGAATCATCTGATCAGGCCTTTCTCACACAACCTGCTTTAAAAACAACAAGACCGCAATAGCTGTCATTCTTATTTCAGAGGTGCATTCAGTAGCAGTGAGCAATAGTACTTTTACTTGACACCATGTCAAGTTTAAGCAATACATTTACATATTATTGAGTATTACTCCAGTTGCTTTCAAAGGCATGGTAAGAAAACACAGTCCCTACGTTTTCTTCTAGAGTCCATACTTTCATTATTTACACAATCCTATTGCACTCTAATTATTGATGCATACCTGTAGATTTTGGATTAAGGAATATAATGTAAACAAATAGCAGCTCATATTCTTTACACTGGAAGAATCCTCTTTGGAAAAGGACCTGAAGCTCCCCAGGGCAAATGTTAGGGAGCAGCAGGCCTTGTCACTGGACAACCAGGCAGCGAGGATTCAGACATCATGGCGCCCCAACCACCTTCTCAAAACACAAAGGGTCCCTGTGCAGAATCAGAGGCAGAGTCCAGCAGATCACAGATGCCTAAAGGTACAGGCTTAGTCAGCTGCCAAGCATCCTGTTGCCTGCCTGAGGAACAAAGACTCTTCACAAGTAAGGAGCGACTCATGAGTAAAGTACTACTCTTGAGTAGGCCAACTCCTCAGGCAGGCTACACAACCTGCTACTTGCAAAAAATAATTTTAATCTGCATAAGATGCTATGTTTGCGTGCATTGTATATGAAACTTAATTGAGGTTTGAATTCACAGAATGTATGTTTTGCAGATGGGACGCGGGTGGTGCTGTGGTCTAAACCACAGAGCCTAGGGCTTTCCAATCAGAAGGTCAGCGGTTCAAATCCCCATGACAGGGTGAGCTTCCGTTGCTCAGTCCCAGCTCCCGCCCACCTAGCAGTTCGAAAGCACGTCAAAGTGCAAGTAGATAAATAGGTACCGCTCTGGCGGGAAGGTAAACAGCGTTTCCGTGCGCTGCTCTGGTTTGCCAGAAGCGGCTTAGTCATGCTGGCCACATGACTCGGAAGCTGTACGCCGGCTCCCTCGGCCAGTAAAGCGAGATGAGCGTCACAACCCCAGAGTCGTCCGTGACTGGACCGAACGGTCAGGGGTACCTTTACCTTTACCTTTATGTTTTGCAGAGAATTACAGCAAGTGCCCCAAAGGTGCTTTTACAGCTAAAGCTACATAAAGAGGATGGAGTCTTTGTTTCAGTGTTTATGTTAATTGATGACTCAGCCCTAGAAGTCTCAGTCTCTCTCAGAAGCTGCCAGCACATTGAAGAAGAAGCTTGGTTATCTGAATCTCTCTCTGGGACCAGAGGGAGGCTAGTAGTTCTTTGACTATATTACCAAGTAAGATCTTAAAGAAAACTGGACTTCATTGCTAGTTGTTTCAGAGCAATGTGTTGATTTGTATTTACAGCACTTTTTGGTCACAAGTTTAAGTACAGTTTGCAGTAAAACCCTGGGACTCTTTCTTGATGTAGAGGGCTTATTGATTTGTACTCTGCACAAGGTCCAGATCAGGGCATTCCTCTCACACTGCTGTGCTCTGGGTGGGACTCCAAAAGCTGAGAGGTTAAAGTTTTCAGTTGCTGGAGCCAATATCTGTACACCAGCTACCTGCTGAGCCTTGTGAACTTAGCATGTTTCTGAACCTTGCTCTTGTGTTTTGACTTTCAGCCGCTACCAGACCTTGCTTTTTGTGTTAACCCAGTGAGTAGACTTGGAACTGCTGCATTTGACTGTGAGGGGCACATTTCAGGTGTCTGTAGCATCTTTCCTACCCCTCTAATGCATGCTACTCCTTTTCAACAGCTAGGATTGTCAGTGTGTTAAAAACTAACTTCAGAACAACTTAACTGGAAAAAAAGACCCTTATAAGGCTACACTGCCCTTGAATGATCAAACGCTGACTACTTTTATTCATCATGTAGCAGTACCCCATAAATTGCAAATGGGGAAAATTTAACTCCCTTAAATTCTATTCCTGTACAGTGGTACCTCGGGTTACATACGCTTCAGGTTACATATGCTTCAGGTTACAGACTCCGCTAACCTAGAAATAGTGCTTCAGGTTAAGAACTTTGCTTCAGGATGAGAACAGAAATCGGGCTCCGGCGGCACAGCAGCAGCAGGAGGCCCCATTAGCTAAAGTGGTGCTTCAGGTTAAGAACAGTTTCAGGTTAAGAACGGACCTCCGGAACGAATTAAGTACTTAACCCGAGGTACCACTGTAGTACAAATGTTATTTTTCTTGGTGAGGGGGAAACTTCAGCATCAGCCCTCTAAACAGGCAACTCACATTAGTTGGAATTTTACTACAAAAAGTTAAAAATGCACACCAAGCAGACATTCTTTTGCATATGGTTTGGTATGAGTTTGAAAAATGTGTTCCAGTGATTTTAAAATCCCCCACATAACAACATTAATCCTTTCATCGAAGAGTTCCTGCTTCTGAATGTGGTTAAAACTGTGTCAGTATCGAGAGGATTATTAAGTGCACCCAACCTACTTTGCAAATGTTTAAATTGCCAGTCTGTATTAGGATGAGTGTTGTATAGTAACCACAAGTAAAATATTAACAGCTCAAACTTGTAAACACATCCTGACTTTTGTATCCTTTGACAAGAATCATTATTGAAGTAGAGCATATTTTTATTCTTTAAAATGGTATCCTATTGTTCCATCTTGACTGATGCTGAAGTTAAAAAGCAATCCCAACTTCACTGCTTCTAAATTTAGGCAGCTCTGCTAGTACGATTAGCCCACGGCTGAAATAGGTTGCTGACCCCTGGTCTAACTCTTTCCCCTTGACCTTACCGCCTTGGGTGACCCTACCAGGAGTACGAGACTCTGGACGGCTTCGCTCACAAGGGTCATGGGAACATTCAAGCCCCCTCCCCATGACAAGGGGAGGGTCCTGCTTTGTAGAGCCCATCTGGCTTCTTGCTATACATCAGAGCTAGGGAAATTAAACAAGTTGAGGGACATGAAATATACTCAGAGGCAAGAGTGGATTTCATGCTCTTTATTCAGCTCATAGTCGTGAGGAGGAATGAAAGTCCCCCCCCCAAAAAAATCTGTTTTATATACATTATTTACACAGTGGACCACACGTGATTGGCTAATTCCAGGGTTCTCCTGTAGGCCAATCAGGTTGTGGATTCACTTCCACCTGGAGCTAGATTGGGTGGCTCCTGCGGACCAATCATACTGCTGCATTGTTCTAGGACCAATCAGACTGCTGCATTCTGAATCCTATTGTTCTAGGACTGATCAGGACTACTGCATTTTGGATCCTATTCAACTCAGTACATAACAGGACAGATGTAAACAGGGCTTTTTTCAGCTGGAATATGCCAGAACTCAGTTCCAGCAAATCTCAGGCAGCGTTCAAAATTAGCTGGGTGCCAGCCTTTTGTGAGGAAATGGAGGTGTCCAGGCGCCAGGTCAGTGCCTAATGTCTCCACCTGGCCAGGCTGGTGTGGCTGCAATGTCGTGCCAGCCAGCTGGTGTGCACAGCACCAAAAGACTCACTCCCGCTCCCCAGCTGAAAGAGCCCCCATCCCGCTCCTGCTTGCAGGCCAGCAGCCCACTCTGCAAGCCACAGATGGGGTGGCTTTGCACCCTGGGCCTTGCAGACTTCGCCCCCCAGTCACACATCAGGTTCTGTGCACTTGGCTAGTGCCGCCTGTTCCATCCTCAGGGAGTGGGGGGCGAGCGGGAAGAAAGAGGTAGCTCACCTGCTCCCATGCCGGCGAAGGAAGCCTCAGAAAGGAGCCCCACGGAAAGAGAGATGGACTGGCTCATCTGGGGAGCTGAGCGCCAGGCCTGCAAAGCGCTGGGGTGAAAGCGCCTCAGCTCCCGTGGGGAGAGCTGAGGTGGTTTATAGCCAAACCATTATGTTTGGCTGATGATAGATTGTGATGTTGAAAACCTAACATTGCCTAACCCCACCCCCACCCCCCAGTTATGCATTTGCAGCAAGCAGTGGCGTAGCGTGGGTTGTCAGCACCCGGGGCAAGGCAAGCAATTTGTGCCCCCTAACCCGTGGATTTGCGCCCCCTAACCTGTGGATTTGCCCTAAGCCCAGATGTTGCGCCCGGTGCGGCCGGGCCCCCCCTGCACCCCCCACGCTACGCCACTGGCAGCCAGTCACACTGGCATCACACAATTCTCACAACTTTCTAGTTTCACCCTGAAAAGGCCACCGAGTGATGGGCCACTGTATTCCTTCCCCTACTCCGATGGGGGTCTGACCTTGAAATCCAGACGGGTCAGGGAGAGGATGAAGGCCTCTGCGACTCTGTGACAGAATAGCAGGCCATTGCTACAAAAAGGGAACAAAAGAAGCTTCCCTAACACCATTGATGAGGTCGTTATTTCCACCAGAGCAAAGCCTGAGCAGGAAGCCATGAGCTCGTTCCCCCCCCGCCCCAAGAATCCCGAGAGGTACACGTGTATGCACCACACATTTGAAACAAGTACGCGCGCACCTACATTCTCGGCACACTTAAGAAATTAAAGTGGCCCAAATCTAAATGCTTTCCGTTTAAGACACGTACCCCAAACTGGGCAATAAAATATGCACTTCCTCTAGAAATAAAAAGGGAGCATCCTCGCAAGCCACGCAAAGCCAGTCAGTTGGTGCGCCCGGAGGACGCGGGGCTCTCACGGCCCCTCGGGCAGCCTGACGCCTCCCCGCGCCCCCCGCGCCCGGCCCGCCCCAGCCCCCCGAGGACGCGGGCAGCCAGGCTCGCTCCTCCGGCAAAGCCCCTCTTTCGAGAGGGAGTCGCCAGGGGGCGCCGCAACCTCGCCTTTCGCTCCTCCGTGTTCTTTTCCGACGCCCCTTTCCGGATTCGGGGCGGCGGCTCCCGGGGCGGAGAGCGAAGCCTGTCTTCTCGGCGGGGACATGGCGCATCTCCGCGACTGCAAGGTGAGTGGCGCGGCTCCCCCCGGCATTTCAGTTCCGGGGTGAGAAATGGGGGGCGAAGGCGCGGAGAGAGCGCGGGGGAAAGGGAGAAGGTTGGCTTTGCCTGCAGCGCGACTTGGTGGCCAGGGTCCCGCTGCGCTTCCTCGAGAGAAAGAGCAGGTGTTCTTTACGCCGTGGAAATGGGAAACTTTCAACAGGAGCCCTTTGGAAATGCTTTATTTGATGCGACTCAGAAGCAAGTCCTGTTGAATTCAACGGTGCTTACTCCCAGGAAATGAGGCTAGGATCGCAGCCTTAATCTGCTCAATGCAGTAATGATTTTGAATCTTTGTAAGTTGTATAATCTACGTTCAGAAACATAAAGGTTTCACAATGCAGCTGTTAACTAAAAAGGCAGAGATAAAACACAGCATACTGGAAAATTAAACTGTGGTAAAAGTCCGTGGACATAAAATGTGTTTGTGTTTGGTCATAATTTCTTCCTCAAACCTGCAGAGACAATAGGATAATTGCATGAACTATGTCAGGGCATTTTCACTTGAGGCTCAAAGGTTCTCTTGTCATCTGGTTATACATTGACCAAAATGCTCACTGACACATTTCCTTCTCATGATGACACTGTAATAGCAGAAGAGAGATTTTAGAGGCTCTGTGGGAAAATGCATTGTTGAACCTTAATACAGTTAATGTTCTTAAACTCCTCAGTTTTAGGTATGATGGGTAAGTCAGATGGATTGCTTTGGTGGGCGTGATGGTGGGCAGGGCTTCTTCCAGACCAGCCCCATCTTCTGCCTCTTGCCCCTGGGCCCTCTCTCTGCCCGCTGGTGCCTGAGTTTGCTTCTTTCCTCCTCCCTCCCGGTCCCTTTCCCCTTGGCGGCAGCGCTTGTGGGATTGTAAACCTGCAGACTGAAGCTGTCTTGTTTTAATTGATTGTATTCGAGTTTCTATGGGAGCCTTTTTTGGCTGAAGAGCAAGGGTACAAATGCTCTAAATTATTTTTTTATTTATTAAATTTCAATACCACCCTTCATCTGAGGATCACAGGACAGTTAACAATTCATGTATTTATTAAACTGCTTTGAGATTTTACTACACTCAAGCAGTATATAAAATTTAAGTGTGTGTGTGTAAAATTTTTTAAGTGTTTTTCTGTTATGACTTCAGAGTTTCCAGAATGTTAATATTTCTACATCGGAGATAAAGTAAGCAGTGTCTTTTGCCTTCCAGGCCTGGCAGGATGCGGGACTTCTTCTTTCAACCACAAGTAATGAGGCCTGTAAAATGTATGATGCTGCCCTGACTCAGGTAGGAATGAAGAAGAGATTATGGCACATAAAAACAATATTTATTCTAATGGATTACCTTTTGTAAATATTAGATACGTTTTCCCATATATTTTGGAGGGGTGAAATAAGAAAATTGCAATTACAAAGGGGCTGTGTTAGTCTTTCAGGTGTGAAGGGAAAATTCATATCAATAAAGGGAAAATAAAGATCCCCCTTTAGTGATAAAATTCCCTTTAGTTTGCTTTTGCTATGCTCTCAAAAAGTATGAAGAAAGGTGAAGGCAATGGCTGTTTGATAGATGAATATTTTTATTACATTAACATACCACCTTAATCTTCCGAGGAACTCAAGGTGGTGCACCTGGTTCCCCTCCTCCCCATTTCATCCTCCTCACAACCACCCTGGGAGATGGCAGCTGGGCCTGGTCACCCAGTGAGCTTCATGACTAGCTGGGGATTTCAACCCTGGTCTCCCAGGGTCTGGATGAGTGGAGTGAGCAGGAGCATTGCAGTCCTCAGCTGTTTAAGGCTCTATATTTCAAAACCAACACTTTGAATTCAGCACAGAAACTAATTGGCAGCCAGTGCAGTCAAGCCCAAGCCAGGATTGGCATTCTATGCTCAAACTCGTCTTGCTCTGGTGAGCAACGTAACCCCCAAATTCTGCACCACCTGAAGTTTCTGAACCATCTTCAGAGACAGTCCCAGTTTTCCTCCACTTGCATTCAGGCCTTGCTGTAGCTTGTCTCATGGTCCTAAGTTCTGGACTATACCAAGGAGCCAAGCAGGCTCTGTGAAATGAGAGAAGTTGCTCATGAACTATAATGTCAGCAGCCTGAGCCATTCAGATGTTCCAGAGGTTGGTCAGGACTTTGACAAGAGAACCAGTCATAGTAACTGGAAAATCCCCCAGAATCACCTTGAAACCCACTGGATCCATCAGTCTCCAAGGGCAGACCATCCTAATAAGCCCCCTGGCTCTGCAGAGGAGAAAAGGTGCTGAAAAGGCAGTGATCTGAACTTGACAAGGAACTGATGTCCATATCCTCCACTTTCAGATCAAATTATTATTATTAATAATTTATACCCCTCCCATCTGGCTGGGTTTCCCCAGCCACTCTGGGCGGCTCCCAATAGAATATTAAAAACACAATAAAACATCAAACATTAAAAACTTCTCTGAACTGGGCTGCCTTCAGATATTATCTAAAAGTCAGGCAGTTGTTTATTTCCTTGACATCTCATGGAGGGTGCCACTACCGAGAAGGCCCTCTGCCTGGTTCCCTGTAACCTCACTTCTCGCAGTGAGGGAACCGCCAGAAGGCCCTCAGCGCTGGACTTCAGTGTACAGAATGGACGATGGGGGTGGAGACGCTCCTTCGGGTATAAAAACGTTCCTGACCGGTTGAGAAATCAAGGTTCAGTGTGTGGCCTGCCACATGCAATGCACCAATGACATGTTGAACCAGCCCCATGATGGTCGTGGCAGCCATGAAGTCCTAAGCCACCCCAGAGACAGTTGCTTCAGTATGGCTGTTGGAAGTCCCTCAAAACCAGCAGTCTGGGAGCGCTCAACACTGCCTTTAAAACCATCTCTGTCAGCTCAGGCAGGGAGACTGCTTGGCAGCGAGGCAGGTGGTAAACCAGCAGAATCCCCTTTTCTGTCCTGGTTGTCCAGTGCCAGGAACACACGCTCTAGATTTCCCACCAAGTGTACAAACAGCCTGGAGAGAGAGGGAGAGAAAAATCTCTGGACCACAGTATCTCCTCCTCCCCAGCACTCAAATCTGTCCTGATGCTGCTGCCCTAAGTACCTTCAAAGCCCTATACGGCCTAGGACCCTCGTACCTACGGGACCGCCTCTCCTGGTATGTCCCACAGAGAAATTTACGGTCTGCAAATAAAAACATCCTGAAGATCCCAGGCCACAGAGAGGTTAGGCTGGCCTCAACTAGAGCCAGGGCTTTCTCGGCTGCGGCTCCAATCTGGTGGAACGCTCTGTCACAAGAGACTAGGCCCTGCGGGACCTGACATCTTTCCGCAGGGCCTGCAAGACAGAGCTGTTCCACCAGGCCTTTGGTCAGGGCACAGCCTGACCCCCTCCTCTGGCAATCTGCACAGAATGTGGCTTAATGGTTGCCATTAATTTGATTTTAATTAATTTTATAATGAATGTTTTTAGAATGTTGGATTATTTTGATTGTTGTTAGCCGCCCTGAGCCCAGCTTCAGCTGGGGAGGGCGGGATATAAATAAAAATTATTATTTATTATTACCCAGGTGGGGACAGCTGGGTGAGATCAACTCTGCTCTGTTCACCTGTCCAGGCTCAGTGATGAGACCAGATAGGCTTCCTCATCCACAATCAGGTCATGGGTGAGGGAGGTCTTACTCCAAGCCAGCCTGGCATTCATCAACAGACCCAAGGGTTGGCTGATAGGACAACCACCATCCCCCAGGTTGGAGGAGGAGCTGGCACGTGGCACAGTCACTTAACTTTGTCTTTTATTCTGTATGTATGCCAAGCACTTTATTTGAAAATGTAGGGTAAACATACTTGAATAAAACAAGAGGAGTCGCGGACGTTTGCCCACCCCCAATATAAATCTACGTTTTTAGCTGTTTCTATTTTATCTGTAAGCTGCCTTGAGACCCAGTCTAGGAAAAAGGCAGGATATAAACAAATTTAATAATACTAATAACTGCCTGTGCCATTTGCCCCTTACCCAGCCTGCACCACCTCCCACACCATACCTCCCCCCACCCTGAACCACTGCAATTGGGGAACCTCCCTGCTCTCCCCAACACGAGATCTCCTCTCATTCAATAAAAACAAACAACAACACACCCACCACACAAATTAAAAAGAGTTAAAACAATTGAAGCAGCAAAGCTTCCATGTGCAGCAACAGGACATGCTGCAGTCAAGTCAGGAACAACATTTTTTGCCCTTCTTGCCTTTGCAGGGAAATGCAGTGCTCTGCCCCCCTGCCCCCAGTAGTATCTTAGTTCCCGGAATCATGAACTCAACTCAGGAATAATTGGACTTATCTGTCCCAGAGACTGGAATAACAGAATTAAAGTTGGTTAGTAGTTCTGAATTCTGTATACTGTATTAATGGAACTAAGAAAATCACCTTAAGAATATTCCCATGGATTGCCACATGAGCCAGAAGCGGAAATATATTAAATTTGTTTTCTGCTTAATGTAAGATTCGCTTGCATGAGATGATGAAAAGAAACTTATCTCTTGAATTCTTAACCAGTGTATTGTTTGTATTTGTTACAGTATGTGACCTGGAAAAATGATAATAGTTTAGGGGGCCTTGAAGGAACTTTCTCAAAACTACAGGCAGCTGACCCTAATTTTTGTAAGTAACGAAATGACTTCAGTGCATCTTTGTGTGGCCTAATGTTGTTTCCTTGTAGAAAATGTGAAGTATTGGCCAAAAAAGTGTGTGTGTGTGTGTGTGTGTGTGTGTGTGTGTGGGGAGGTGCAATGCTTATTTTCTTTGGGACCACCATTGCCCATAATGGTTGAACTCGGTCTCCTGCTGGCCCCTGGGCTCACCTGCCTGCCCATCCTCTCTCCTTCAGAGACTTAGGCATTCCGCTTTTAGTCACCTGAGATTTGTCATTTCATCTGAACAAAAAACTACTCGTAACACTATATATGGTTACTTTAAAATAAACTTGCATTGTAAGCCATGATTTGAATCTAGATTGGCCAGTTTCTCACCATAGTCGGATCTTAAGTTTTGTTTTTCTTTAAAAACAAACAAACTAATGTTTCTAGTCTTCATGGGTTCAAATATATGGTGAAAAATACTTTGGATGTGATTCTTGGAGGTAAATGGATAGAACTTTTTTTTTTTACCTGGCCACCTTCTCTGTATTGAAACCAGGCAGGTTCCCTTACGTTACTCTTTTTGGAACCTGTCGAAAACATTTCTGTTTATGCAAGCCTATCCACATATGTAAACGTTGAGGTTAAAACACATCTTTTTAACCTATTGTTGATTTGAGCTATCTTTTTTATTTAAATACCTGTTTTTAACAGTCTTTTATTGATATTTTTAATCTTTTGTTTTTATTCTTTGTAAACCACATAGAGGTTCATTACAATCAGGCTGTCTGTATAGTTGAGAAAATAAAGAAATATGTTTGAGGAACAACCTATTATATAACTAAAAGATGACTATAGCTTTTATTTGTTGAGGGCCCCCTTTTCTTGGGCAATCTTTGAGGGCTGCATGCCCGAGCCCAAAGCAACTGGGAGCGCTCCCTTCTCGCTTTCTTCCTCTCTCTCTCTTTCTGCCACCGCTTTCTCTCCCTGCCCACCAAGGAGTTGCCAGTGGACACACAGATCACTCCTGTAATAAGTCTGAATTAATAATTTCCAGAGGGCTTGCCACCCTTTCACTCCATCACTCCATCAGTTTTGACTTCGTCCCCACTCCTCTCCTTCCAGGCTCCTCCTAAGCTGCATGAAATTAGGTAAAGGACTGCAGGTTTTGTCTACTGATATAATCTTTTACGTAAAGTTTTTACTTCTGACTTTATCTGCAGTAATGGGTCATGTGATTGCTAATGGTTTGGTTCTGATTGGTACTGGGAGTTCACCTCGACTTGACAGAAAACTAGATGGTGCAATAAAGAAAATGGTGGCACTGTCACAGTCTCAGCCATTGACTGAACGAGAGAAAATTACACGTTTCTGCAATTGGAGCTCCTTTGCTAATGGGTAAGTCCTTGGTTTTTAGGCAGTGAAGTTGGGAAAGCTTTATTGCCTTTTCTGTAAAAACTAGCTCTCAGAATCTGCAGAACAAAGCAGCTTATTTTCATTTTCTCAGGGGCAATGTCTGTTGTAAAAAACTTGATTTGGTGCTTACCTGCCAGTGCTATTTTTCTAGAAAAGGAAGTGCTAGAACTCACCACGAACACCTCCCTCATTCTCTTGCAGTGACATTGGCGCCCACCTGAGAGGTGCCAGAACTGAGTTTCTGGTGAGTTCTGGCTGGAAAAAAAGCCCTGGTACCTGCCCCTCCCTACTTTCTTTAAAACATTTCTGATTTTGCTTTTTTTCCTTTGCCAAACAATAGCTTTTGCAACATCTACCCTTGGACCTAAGGCATAATGTTATATATTATATTTCAAAATTTTTATTAATTTTCCACTTTTTAAACACCAAACAAACAAACAAACAAATAAACACAAATCAAAACTGAACTTAGTCCAATATTAATATCATAGTTAAATGACTTCCTCAAATTTCCTAGACTGAATTTCATTATACATCAATTGTAACGCTTTCCAAGAGTTTCTCATAAAATTGACTTACTCCTTAACATCTTTGTCTCTTTTCATCTTACTTTAAACATATTGTTTTATAATTTCACATATTTAAGTCCTTAGCCTATCTGTTATTTTACAAGTATTTCTATTTAATTTATCTTAGCATATTTCGATAAATAGTCTTTAATTTCTTCCATTCTTCCTGATGTTCTCCTCCTTCTGGTCACTGATTCTTCCAGTCAGGTCGGCTAGCTCGAAAAGTCCATCATCTTCATCTGCCATTCCTCCACTGTTGGAATTTCTTTGTGTTTTCCAATTTTTGGCTAATAAAATTCGAGCTGCAGTTGTGGCATACAAAAACAGTCTAGGCATCTTTTTGGGGCAATTTCCAAGCCTATTATTCCAAGAAGAAAGGCCTCTGGTTTCTTAACAAATGTATATTTCAACATTGTTTTCAACTCATTATAAATCTTCTCCCGGAAGTCTTTCACCTTGGGACAGGTCCACCACATATGGTAAAAGGTACCCTCCTTTTCTTTACATTTCCAGCATAGATTATCACTATTGTGATAAATCTTTGCTAACTTTACAGGAGTCAAGTACCATCTATACATCATTTTCATTATATTTTCCTTTAACACTGTACATGCAGTGAACTTGACCCCTTTCCTCCACAACCTTTCCCAATCTTCAAACATTATGTTATGTCCCACATCTCTTGCCTATTTTCATGGATTTAACTTGTTATTCCTTTGTATGCCCACTCCAACAATGAATTATACATGTTAGACAAATTTTTAACTTTAGAATTTAACAACTTCGTTTCCAATTTAGTTTTTTCCAAAGCAAAACCATTTTTCTTATCTATTTTGTACAATTCATTAATTCTGGTTATAATGTAACCAATTTATTTTATCTTTGATTTGGTCAAATGGTTTTCATTTAAATCCTTCATTATCTTCCAATAACAAATCTGAATATCTCAACCACTTGGATTCCATATTTGACTTTTTCTGGTCCTTTGCCTCCATTGGCGAAAGCCATCTGGGTGTTTTCCTTTCTAGAAGATCTTTGTATTTAATCCAAACATTATATAGAGATTTTCTAATCACATGATTTTTAAAGCCATTATGGGCCTTTACCTTGTCATGCCATAGATATGCACGCCATCCAAACACATTGTCAAATCCCTCCAAATCTAAAACATCAGTGTCCTCTTAGTTGTATCCATTCCTTAATCCAGCAAAAAGCTGCTGCTTCAAAATAGATCTTCAAATCTATTTTCTCTTTCTCTTTCTTTCGAGTCCCGTTAGTAATTTATATTCGATTCTGGGTTCCCCCCCCTGCCAAATAAATCTAGATAGTGCTTTTTGCCATTCTTTGAAACACTTCACATTATCAATAATTGGTAGGGCTTGAAACAGAAACAACATCTTTGCAATACATTCATCTTAACTACAGATATCCTGCCCATTAATGACAATTTCAAACTCGACCAAATCTCCAAATCTCTCTTAATTTCATTCCATAATTTCTCATAGTTATCTTCAATATAGATTCAAGTTTTTCACCGACAAATTGACCCACAGATATTTAACTTTTTTCACAAAGACTAGGCCCGTCTTTCTTTGTAATAACTTCCTTTCCTCGTTGTCCATAAGGCATAATGTTATAATGCTATTTGGTAGCCCTATATATTGAGTGAAATAACGGATGATGTTTCAAATTGAGTTTCTTAAATGAAAAATATGTTTTCAAAGGCTCTAACCTGCTTCTAGCTTATTGTTGTTAATTGTATGGAATCTCTTCCACAAACGGTAGCTCTCAACACTTAGTGCCAATAGTTTTAGTTGCTCCCTTCAGACACAGAAGGATTAGAAACAGTTCCTTTGGGCTACTTCTTTTAACATGTAGCTCTTTAAAATTAAGTCGTACCTGTGCTACTTGTGTCCCACAAGGACATACACAGCCCTCCAGCCACCCACAGGAGCCTGCTGGCAACTCCCTCCCCCCCCCCTGGCACCTAGGTGTTAGTGGCCTGGGTCATAAACTGTGCAGGCTTGAGTAAGCAAATAGTACTTTAAAAAAAAAGTCACAAGTAATCAGTAATTAAATATGGGAGATCTCATTCACATTATTTTAGCAGCATTGTACACCTTTAAATATAAGAATACGGGTCTATATTATGAAAAAGTCTTGCACGCAAACCCACAAAAGTTACCAGTTGGTGCAAACAACTTTTACTAACCCTCTTGTCCAAACAAGGTTATAATCTGTTGGCTAAAAGGGCAGGGGGGGATACATTATTTATTGCAGCATTTCTTCCTGATTATCTGTGCGAAATAGGCACCGACTAAGTGAATGGATATTTATACGCCTTGAAGGATATTTATATGCCTTGGGTTTTTCCCCTGTGTAGGCAGCTCCCAAAAGCTTGTGACACCTGGGATCAAATCCTGCAGAACCACCCAACTGACCTGTTAGCCCTCAAATTTGCACATGACACTTATTTCTACTTGGGACATCAAACCCAGATGAGAGACTCCATTGCTCGAGTCTATCCTTATTGGACACCAGACATTCCTCTTAGTAGGTAAGATCATTTCGCTTCTGCTGCGCTCTCTGATTCTACTGCATGCTCAAATTCAAGAACCTCAGATAAGAAATATTATCAGATCTTGCAGTCCAACTTATTTGTTTATTATTTTAAAACATGTTTACCCTACTCTTCAGCCAAAAAAGGTGTCCAGATCAGTCTACAAGTGTACGATCTAAAAGTACATGTAAATCAACACACCTGGATTTTAGAGAAAGATTCATAATAAGAAGCTCAATTTTCAGAATAACTGAAAAACAGAATACCCCCCCTAGTACTAATATTCTTAAGCAAGCGAGACCTGTGACAAACTGGAGGGCTCCCATTCACTATTCCCATCAGTCATCTGCATCCTCCTCCATGGTAAACCATTCCATCCCCCGTGGTTTTGTAAACCCCAACCTGACAACTGTTAATCTGCATCCTGATCCCACATAATCCTTTCCTCATTGAGCTGTTTCCCACCTAAAGTGGTTGTTGTTTGAGGTAAACACAAATACAAACAGTTCCCTGAGCCTTACTCATACCTCCCTCTTGTGTGTGGTTGGTGCTGTTTGCCTACATAATGGTTGGCACTTGCCTTTGAACTTCAGAAATGGAGGGGAAGATTCTAGAAAGAGGATCTGAGGCTGAGAGAATGGAAGGCTTGTGTGTAAGGTGCCTGGCAGGCATTGTCAGTCTCCATGCAGCTCCTTGGCCAGTCGGATGCAACACGGAGGCCTTGGGACTGGAGAAGGACCTGCATGCAAATGCCATTCATCCTAAGGAAGTAGAGAGCACCCAGCAGCTCTTTAAAGGCCAGCGTCAGCATCCAGCCCAGGTCCCAGCAGGGAAGAGGAGGACCATGAGAAGAGACGAGGAACCCAGGAGAGCAAGGAGACAGATATGAGGGGAGAAGGCATATGGAAGGGTCTGTGGCTGTTAACTTCAGAGAAGAGAGGAAAGACTGTCAGGAAAATAAACTATATAAAGAACCAAACAGAGTAGGTGTCCTGTGATAAAAGGATGCAACCAAGTAAGGGACTCCCTCAAGGGTCCTCTGAGTACAAGAGACCACCTGGGGTTCTGAGGAACCGGGACCAGAGGAGGGATGGAGCTGACACGCTTTACAGACTGAAGTGAAATTTGGACACATGCTCTCATGTGATAAGAATAAAGTGTCGATTCCCTGAATGTACTAATTTCTAGTGAGAACCTGTTGCAAATGCTAGTTCTTATGTAGTTTCATCAAGTACAATTCTCTTTTCTATTTTAAGGTATTTATCAAGGTGCTATTAAGTAATCTCATATTGACTGTCAGTTTTTACCTTTTCTGTTTAGCTACTTAAAAGGCATGTACTCCTTTGGACTGATGGAAACCAATTTCTTTGATCGTGCTGAGAAGCTTGCCTATGAGGTAAAAAATAAAAAGGCTGAAATATGGGGTGTTCAAGTTATTTTTTGTGTAGGTGAGCGAGAGAGGTAATTGGTGGTAAGCTGGGTAGTTATTAGGGCGGTTCATTAAAAACTTTTTTTAAAAAATGCCGGCTCCAAAGATCTCATCTTACTACACTAGGGATTATATAGCTATATCTGAAATTTCATGCATATCAGTTAATATCTTGACCCTCCTCCACAAAAATAGCTGTTTATTTGGCCATTTCCCTATGTCGTGAAGGCTGAAATTTCAATTCAGTGGAGCAGGGTCAAGATATTAAGCGATATGCATGAAATTTCAGATACAGCTATATAATCCCTAGTGTAGTAAGATAAGACCTTTGGAGCAGGCATTTTCCCAAAAAAAGTTTTTTATGAATCGCCCTAGTAGTTATGCCAGTCTGGCCCATCAAGAACTAAAAGGAATGATTTTTTTGGCCTCTTTTGAGATTTCCTGGCTTCCCCAGTTTATATTGCCAGGAATGGGCACAGCTTGGGAGATACTGCAGACAATATTTTCATTTCCTTATCTCACGCAACCTCGTTTTGCTATTCTGATATCCTCAGTTTAAGTGACTTCCTCATAGGTGTCAACTGACTCTTTCCAGA